TCTGGCTGGATACCGATCAGCCCAATTTACAGTTCTGAGTGGGGTGGTGCTGCAGGCTCAGTTCGCAATATGTGGAGTGATTGCGAGGTGTGCGATCGCGACTAGGATGGTATACAGATGTTTGGCGTTGAAGGGTTTGACAACATTAGATTCGGCCCTTCTGTCGCGCTCGACATGTACATTGATGATAATGTCTCAATGCGGTTGACACGGCCTCGCGAATTGTTAGCAGTTTGTCGGTCTTTGCGTCTGCGCTCCAGCATGCCATCACAGCGACGATGCGTGCCCAGAAGTCCATGGGTGATATCGCTTTGATCGCCTCCAACAAACAAGCATGTCAGACTGTCTCGGGAAGGTTTTCGGGTACCTCGTGGGGCCCCAAAGAGAGTCCACCATCAACCTCGGGATAGATCAAACTTCAGGGACTCGTAGGCGAGTTCGTGGTAGGAGTGCGAAGGCCAAGCAGAGGATGAGTGCTGCTGTTCGGCGTACGAAGCGCCTAGTTCGCCAGCGTGGAACGCCGGGGGATCGAGCCACTGAGACTTTTATCACAGGCCCCCTTGCAGGAGCTCAGTACGGATCGGAGGTGCACGACATGTCTGACGACGAGGTGCTCGCGATCCGACGTCTAGCAGCTACGACGATGAATTCTTCCAGTGGGGATAGGTCATTGACGTTACTCGCGAGACTCGAGAAGGACCCCGCTGGGTACTGATCAATGGCGCCTGTCTTTCGCTACAGCAAGGAGCTCTGGCTACTTCGAAACAGGGCCCCATGGTGTCTCAGTCGGGACAACATGAGAGCTTCCTGGAGTGCCGTCTGGAGTTCCACTCCCAGGACGTGGCGTTCTTGTAAACACCCGCTTGGGGCGATGCATATATCTCTCAAGAGGTTGGACTGGACCATGCCATGCCCTTTCGCGATGATAGACGACCGTGGAACGACCATCCCTCTCCTCCTCACCTCTCCCGCTCTTTCGAAGAAGCGTCTACAGAGCTCAGTGTTGAGGTACCTTGAAATCGAAGCCGGCCCCAAGTACCACGATGGAGGCCGCCTGTGTTTTGACATCGTCGACACCGTTCTGGCGTCGTCGAAACTTTCTGGGAAGGAAAATGTATTCGTCAAGGCGCTGCACTACCAGGCGGCCTGGCCCCCTGGCCCTGCAGGAGAGCAGATGCCTCGGTGGCCCGCGCAGGGGACGCCTTCCTGCCGAGGTGGTCGGAGGCCGCTTGCTTGCTGGAGAGGAGTCGCTCCGACCTCTCGCCGAAGGCACGACCCACAAAGTCCTGAATGTGTGTGCAACAGGGTCTTGTTCCCCATCTTTTGCCCTCTTCATTGCACTGCTGTCGGCTTGCGTCCGGGAGGATAGCCCTCTAGAGGGGCAGCGGATTTCAAGAGTGGCGGAGCGATCGACTCGAACCTTCAAGCGGTTTCGTTGTGGGAAAAAATCTTTAGGGGAACAAGCAATGACACGAACACAACAGCTCGGATGTCCGCGCGGATTTCTCGGATCGGCGCTGGTGCCCCCTGGCGGCGCCTCCAGCGCCGCCCCTGGCGCGCTCCGCGCGCCAAGGAGGGGGGTCCGACGCCGATCCGAGAGATCCGCGCGGACCTCCGAAGTGTTATGTTTATGTCATTGTTGGTCTCCTTAATTTTTCCTCTGAGGTCCATGGGCCGTCGAGCCAAAGCAAGGCTCTCGAGTGTGTGGGTTTCCAGGTGTCTCCCAAGGCCTACGAGGCCGAGGGTCTTGAAGGTCCTTCCGAGGGGGTGCGGGAATTCCAGAGGGTGTTCTATCTGGATGGCTCGTGCATGCGTCACGCGATCAGTGAACTTTTCCGCTCAGGGTGTGGTGTTGTGATGGTCGGTCCTTCGGGCAAGATCTTTGCGCGTGCGTTTGGGGCCCTCGGCAACTGTTACCCGAAGTGTTGCAGCAAAATTCGCCGCGCCCACGTCTGCTGTCTGCCTTCTCGTCGAATCTGCCGACCTTTTTGAGCGATTGTCAAGTTGCTGTGAACGAGTTGAACCAGGGTCGCGGTGACCGCCTGTCTCTCAGCAGGCCCTATAGTGGGCTCGCTACGCAGGCAGACTCATTCGGTGGCCAACACATCCGTTCTGTTGTGAAGGTGCAGGCGCATCGCGAGGACGATGTCGCCCTCCCTGCCAGCGAGAGGATACACATCGCTGGCAACAATGCTGCAGACGAGGCTGCGAAAGCAGAAGTCCGTTTGCATCTCGAGTTCAAGTTTAAGGAAGACGTGAATGACCGCCCGGCCTTGTTAGCCAAGGCGTCAAGGGCGGTCACAAAGTTAGTTGCTAAAAGTTCGCGCGAGTGACCTAGGACAGGCTTGAGCGCAGTGGAGGCGCACAACCGAGACAGCTCGTCCGCCTCAGCTTGCTGGCCCTGGGCTTAAGTCGGGCCTCTCTCTCTACAGGGGGTATATTCAAAAATAGTCAAAAAATAGTATGGGGACGATTGTTTGACCATTTTTGAATAGTTTGGGGTATTTTTTGGGTATATTTTATTTGTCGCCCAAAGTCCGCCTGCAAGGGGACATGCCCGACGTAAGCCTGGGCATAAGAGGATGTGGGCGGGTAGGTTCTGGCAGTGCCCTCTGCGCTTGCGTGGGCCGAGGAGAGCCCTCCTCAAGCCACCCTCAGGAGTCTGCACGCGTCCTCTCCGAGGTGACCCAACGTCACTGAGAGTCCCGGGTCGCCGCAGCCTGGTGGTACAGAGTGTTCATTCCTAAGTCGTCGAATGTTGTTTGGTTTTTTGGGGGCCAAGATCTTTTCATGTCTGATTGTTCTGTCCTGGGTCTCTTCCTGGCCACTAGGGGGCCAGGCACAATTAGAAAAGAGCACAATGGGAAATGAGCACGATTAGAAACGAGCGGCGTGTAGATTTTGTCAGACGACAGGCGTGCCTGCGTCCGTCAGCTCTGCCGTGCTCCCACCCCCGGAGGCCAGATGCGAGGGCTTGCGAAACGGTGCCCTGAGAGGCCCCCGAAGCGAAGCGAAGTTTGGACGAGATTGGGCAAGGGGCTCCATCCCAACCAGAAGCGGAAGGGAGTCACTGCTGATCTCAAGAGATGTTTGCCCGATGAAAGCGGGGTCCATGTCTGCGGATGCCAAACAACATCCCCCTCTTCCTCCTCCTCCTCCTCCTCCTCCTCCTCCTCTTCCTCCTTCTCCTTCTCCTCTTCCTCCTCTCCGTTATTTCGCCCGACAGTTCGGACACGGTCCCTCTTCCTCACTTGATGCCAGGTTCCAAGACGGGCAGACAACAAAAACAAGCGCGCGCGAAGCGCGCGTACGATGCCTAATGTGTCACTTCGTAGCGCTAGCAGTGGTCAATGCAATGTGCACGGGCCCCCAACCACTCCATTTGATCGATAGATTTGTAGATTCAGACATACGTACGTACACATACACATCTACCAATATATTATCCAAACGGGCTTGCCCTATGGGAGTCCTAGCTCATTCTCAGTAATTGGTTTTTAGCCCCCCCTTTTTCCAATGGCACGCCCCTCCCCCCCCCTCTTTTGTCCAATGGCACCCCTTCTTATTTGCTCTCGCTTGCTTCTTGCTTGCACTTGATCGCTGGCTCTTGCTTGCTTGTTATTGTTCGCTTGCGCTTGCTTGCTTCCGCTTGTTTGCTTGCGCTTGCTTGATTTTGCTCCTCCCGTCCTGCTCCCGTACTCCTTCCGTCCTTCTCCCATTCTCCTCTCGTCCTCCTCCTGTCCTCCTGTCTATTCGGAGTCAACGCTGGCTGTTATTTCCATTGTCTGTATATTTGTATCTAAAGATTTAAATTCCTCTTCCTATATTTTTACAAGCCCGGGCGGGGGGAAAACCCGTCCCCTCCCCCCAAAAAAAGACTGACTCCTGGGATCTGGGGCTTTAGGACCCTTCGGACGGGCCTCGAAGCGGCCCCCAGGGCCTTTTCAGGGCGTTTTGCCAAGCCTTCGCAGCACACCTAGGGCGATCAGGGGGGTCATCGGAGACGTCCCAGAGAACTCCAAGACAGCACAAGAGCGCTCCAAGAAGCCGTCATACCCCGAAAGATCGCTCCAAAACGTACCAAGAGGCCTCCAAGAGCAACCCCCAAGAAGGCCCCAAGAGGGACAAATAATTGATATCATGTAGGTTTTTGGTGAATTTGGGGTTCTCCTCTTTTCGGCTTCCCGACGCTCCAAGACAGCGGTCTTCTGGGCGTCGGAAGTCGCCTGGGAGGCTCCAAAATCGCCCCACAACCATCCGAAAGGTTTTCCAGGCAGTGGCAGTCCAAGAGAACCCCAAAACGGCTCAGCAGGGGTCCAAAATGGCCCTGAGAGAGCCCCATGGCGGCCCAAGATGGCCCCAAGACACCCTCCGAAGCATTCCAAATCGTGACCGGGGCGTTCAGGGAGACCGCGGTTAGAGGCAGGTTGGCCTTAGGAAGCCCCAAAGGCCCCCAGAACACGGCCAGAAGGCCTCCGGAAGGTTTTAAGAAAGCCTGAGGACTTTGGTGAGGCCCCCAGAGGCACTCCAAGGAGGAGCCTCCGCAAAAAGAGCTGAGGAGGATGAGGAGAATGCCCAGGGTATGGCGAGAATGAGGAACATCAAGCATGGAGGAAGGATAACGAACAGCATTATTATAATGGCGATGCCAGAAAAGGCAGCAAGGAGTTATCGCTAAATTGTCCGCTTGACCTTCCTGCCATTTCCGCCGGCATACCAATCTTCAAGGACCAAGGTGCATAGCGCGAAGCGCCACTGCAGTCTTGTATATATATATATATATATATATACACAGATATGCGTAGTGTGGTTGTTTGCTTAGGGTATGGATGTTGGTGTTCCCTCTCCGCTGTCCGGTGGAAGGCATTGTTGGGCGTGGCAGGGCGTCGTTGCGAGTCTGGACGATTTACCTTTCTTGCGTGCCCAGGGATAACAACCAGGCCGCACGTAGTGCTGACACGGAGCTCCTCTCCGCACCTGTTTGATATATGGGGAGGGAGGCCGGCTGACTGCTCAGAAGGGCCTCGACGTGCTTGGGGCGTGTGTGGAGCGGGGGGGGGCGAGAGGAAAAAGACGATAAGAAGAGTGATGAGCATGCAGAGGTGGACGAGGAAGGCGAGGAGGTAGCATGATTGTCACGTTGGCATTTCAAATAGCAGCGTTTCAATCAGAGTTGACATCTGCCAGTTAACGCCGCGCCTTCAACGCAAGATCTGTGCTCGCAGGGCTAACGCTGTGATTCTCTCATGGAGTGCAGAGGCGTCCGCGTGCATCCGAGCTTGCGAGAGCCATCGGATGGTCGTTCTGTATTTTTTTCCGCGCATGTTCTTCGTTTCCCGGTGGTCCCCTTGTTGCGGTTTATAGATCCCGTGGCATCCGGCCCATTTTGCCACCGTGCTTGGGTTGTAGGTCAGAGGTCTCTTAGATGCTTGGGGGGATCTCTTGGAGGCGGTTCTTGCGGGCCTCTCGGGGCCTGATTTGGGCATCTGGTGGTCCTCTTGGGGCCTCTTGGGCGCACCTCGTGGGCTTGTGGGGGATCTTGGGGCCAATGGGGCCGAGGGCTCAAAATGTCAGTCCGTGTTCCCAACTTGGGCCCCTCTTGGAGCCGTCTTGGGGGCCTCCTGGGGCCTCTTGGGCCCCTCTTGGGGTCTTTGGGGCCGTTTGGAGCGATCTTGGGCGCCTCTTGGGACGTCTTGGACGCTCTGACGACCGAAAACACGGCAATACGAAAACCAAACAGACAAATGGATTTGATGATTTTGGCCTCTCGGGCCGCCCTCCAGTGCCCCCAAGACAGCCCAAGAGGCGCCCAAGGGGGTTCCAGGAGGTCCCTGGGGCCATCTGGAATCATGTTACATGTCCCGAACACTTCGCTCTTGGCCCCTCGAAAAGTCACGCGGGGACCCCCCGAGAGTGCCCGGGAGCGCCAGGAATTCCAGGCTTTGGATTATGTGTTCGAAAACATTCACAGAATTCAGTCTGGAGAACTCGAGGGGATTTGAGGACACTCCATTTCTTGTCTCGCGGCAAGGTGGCTTATATATATACACACATAAATAGATGAATATGTGTATATGTGTATATGTGTTTATGTATGTTTGTATGTATGTATGTATGTATGTATGTATGTATGTATGTATGTATGTGTGTGTATAAATGTATGTATGTATGTATGTATGTGTGTGTTTGTGTATGTATGTATGTATGCATGGTTGTATGTATGTATGTATGTCTGTATGTATGTATGTTTGTGTGTATGTATGTATGTATGTATGGATGTATGTATGTATGTGTGTATGTATGCATGTACGTGTGTACGTGTGTACGTGTATGTATATATACATTGGTATGCGCGTATGTGTGCAAAAGCACATACACGTACACGTACATGCACATATGCATGCACATATGCACATACATATATGTACATATCTGTACATATACACATACGCACCTATATCTACACATACATGCACGTATGTATACGCCCATACATACACCAGGAAACACAGATACGTAGAAACATATGAATAGACACATACAAACACTTACGTATATACCGACCGACCGACCGATCTACAAATCTACAGACATACATCCATACATGCATGCATGCATACAGTTGTTGATTGTGAACAGTTTCATATTGTATATAGATATACAAACGCGTGTCAAATACCTATACACATACACATAGGTATACATATATATATAAGTGTATACCCCCTATGCCGAGCCTTTTCTGCTGCGTTATGCACTGCCTTCTGCGCGTTGCCGCGCAACATAGTTTTGGAAATCAGTCGATCCCAGGCGTGGCCAGGCAGCCATCCTTCCCGCATACATGAAGGCAATGACGAGCATTGTTGATGTTGCTCTGGTCGTAGGCAGCGGGTATGGGTCAATACGTTGCATGTTGTCTTTCAGCATTCCGTGCGCAGTGTGGAGGCGTTCTCGTCATCGCACCAGAACTTGGAACAGTACGAAGCGAGCAGAACCCGAATATACGCGAATGGTTGGACGGACTTCGCATCCAAATTCACGCTATGGTGCCTGTGATGCTTCTGGAAACCAGCAAACCAGAACGCACCGAATGATTGTCGCCGTTCCACTGTACATGCGAACACTGTTCGTTCGAACCATCGTTGCGAGCGGCGCTCGCTTTCACAAGTGATTGCGAATGGAAGGAATGACGAAAGTCAACGGATTAGAAAGACGTGTATCCACAGGCACGTTGAGCCGGCAGGAGAGGCCGAAATTACGTGAATTGGCAGCGTGGGCATGGTACCGATTGCCGCATAAATAGCCAGTGGGCACCCAGGAGTGGATGATTGAGGACGACAAGGACGGCATGAACAGCATTCAGCTCATCATCATGGGCAACGGCGACGCGAGCTACGGTGCCACCCCATATGTTCTTCTTCGATTCGCAGTGTGCCATGCTCGGGGGTCCAGCGCCGATCCACGAGATCCGCGGGGGCCTCCGAGAGTGCAAGGTTACGTCATGATTTGATCCCCGACGTGCGGCTCTCTCGTTGGTTCTTTTGGCGCCTTGCGTCGCCCGCACAGAGACGGAGCAGCCCGAGCGAGCAGCCCCCTCCTCAAGCGCGACCCCTTGGAGGAGCAAGACGGCGAGAGAAGCCGTCGATCCTTCCGTACACCCCCCCTTGCCATCTCTTTCACCCTTCATGCCCATTATTCTCTCCATCTTCTGCTTCCCCCTCTTCAACTGCTCGCTGCCTGCCCGCCCCCCCCCCCTCATCCCTTCTTACAACCGTGCCCGTTCCTTCTACACCAATGCCAATCCCCTGGCCGCCGTGAGAGGAGGCAGAGGAGTAGGGCCCCGCCGAGCTAGCCGGCAGAGCCACAGGAGCGAGGAGAAAAAATTGTGTGCCCCGTTTCGCGCTGAACCGCCCTGCCGGCCAGTGCCCGTGGTCACCACGCCTCGGCATCGCACGTCGGCGGCGAGCGAGGGGGGGAAGTGAGAAGGAGGAGGCCTTCTCAGAAGGCGCTGGGGCTTCTCAGAAGCCCTCGCGCCGTCTGAGAAGGTCAATGCCTTCGGGGTACGGACCCGCTGACACCCGGCTAAAAAAAAAGCAGGACCTTTCCCATCCTTCGCCCAGCCCTCCTTTTGCCGCGGCTGCCATGTCCGCGCCCCGGTCGCACATGACCTTGTGGGGCGCAGTCGCGGCCCTTCTCTTCCGAATAAGCTGGCTCAGGTTCCTGTGGATCCGCCCTGGCCTGTCCAGCCATGGCGCGCACGGCTCAGAAGTCGGACAAGGGTCAGTGCCCACATTGGGCAGCCACGTTTTCTCAGATCACCCGTGAGAATGGTTGTCGGCCGCCCCGCAGCCTGGCATTCGTTCGCCCGGCTCCTCGCAGCGGATCCGCGCCGAGATTCCACAGTGGCGGACGAGCCATGAAAAAAATAGGAACGTGTCGTTTGCGCTCCCTCAAGCAGCGCCTGCAACTCAGAGGTGGCACTCTTGTGCTTAAGCAGTCGGCTGAGAGTTCCGACGTTTCGTCCCGTCGCCGCCCGCGCGCAGCTCGTGCGGCGGCTGCGAGCTCCGGGCGGCTGCGTCCGTCGCCGCCCGTGTGTCGCTCTGTGGGCGCCGCGTGCGCCAGCTGGCGCACAGAAGAGTTGGAAGCTACGCCCCGCCAGGGCGCAGCTCGTTTGCGCACAGACTTCTCCTCCTCCTCCTCCTCCTCCTCCTCCTCCTCCTCCTCCTCCTCCTCCTCCTCCTCCTCCTCTGTTGCTTCTGTGGGCACTCGTGTGGGCGCAGACAGCTTCTGTGGGCGCTCGTGTGCGCACGGACTTCTGCTGCCGAAGAAGGGTTAGAAGCTGCCCCCGCCACGCCGAGGCTGGACTTCACAGCCCGTCACGCCTGTTCGCATTTCATGTGTCACCTCCTGTTTTGCACGACCACTCAATCTCGATACCACATAGTTGCATCCGCAGAAGGCCAGTATGGACCGCCTCACCGCCCCCCCCCCTTTATCCCTGGCCAAGCAAAGTCGATGCAGGCACACGCGTTGATCGAACAAGTGCGTTTGGTAAGAACCTTGATCAAATAACAGCATGCGGGCCACACGAGCGCGAACATGTCGATTCCATCACAAGACCAATCTAGTTCAATCAATGTTGAACGAAGCCCATCAAGCACCATTATGTTCGTTCTGCTTCTCAATACTATGCCAGCTCGGGACACAGCAACTGATGATGTTCCATTCTGTCGGATGAGACCATGCGGCCCACGCGTGCGCGCATGTCGAAATCATTACACAGTCACCTCGCACCCGCCGTCTTCGTCGTATCATACCATGTGGGCCACACGCATCTCCGTGCGCGCACGCCGAGATCTTTCCAAAACCAGTGGCTTCCTAAGCGTTCAAACATAGAAGCGAGCAAAGCGTATGGAGGCCCAACGGTTCTTCAAAAACATAGTGTCCGAAGTTCTTAATTTTTGCGCGCGTTCAAGTCGCCTCCGTCCTTATAAGCACCATCGTCATAACCATTGTTGAAGTCGTTATTGCCGCCGTCATCATCACCATCATCTTCATCAAAATCGTCGTCATCGTCCTCATCATCGTCATCAACATCATCCTGGTCATCCTCATCCTCATCGTCGTTGCCGTCGTCGTCGTCATCAGCACCACCACCATCATGGTCACTCGACTGTCCGAATCATGGATCTGCACGAGAAGGGTACTCTCACCACACTTCTTGAGTGTTGCCAGCGAGTTGCGGGTGGTGGAATTCGATCGATCAGTAGAGTTCGCGACAGTAGCATCGTCAAAGCAAATTGCACCATGTAGATCACATCACCTGTATTGCACCACATAGATTGCCACACATTGGATGCACCGCACCGAGGCTTTACCACAAAGAGTGCACATCGAGCGTGTCATATTCTAGCGTTTCGGCTCCACACTGGCAAACATGTCGTACTTGGTTACGTTACTTCCTCACCACGTGCTTGTCGTAATTGTTGCGCTGCTTCGGCGCAGTCCACTCCGTCTCAACCTCCCTCCGGTGATATGTTGCAGTGGGCCGAGACGAAGTACAAGGGCAGAGTTTGTGGTTATTACGGTTTCAGCCCGAAGATAGAGCGCCAGATGATTGCCGGTGGGAGTGTTTGGCGTTTGTGCGAGCGGGATGTAACCAGAAGGACCAGGGAAGATGAGGAAAACGAGCAGTGCGATTGCAGGGGTGGAAGCAGGTGTTGCTATAGGAGCTGATTGACGTGACCATGGGCCCCTCCGCCAGTCGTTGTTTCCCGTCCCAGCTCCAACACGCCCCCAGACGTCTTCTGACTTCTTTGTAAATTTCCAACACTCCTGACATTCCAATTTCGTCGTCCTCGTCCTTCTTGGTATTTCGGCGGGCCCACCACAGGGTTACGATCGTTCCATCCCCACCGAGCGATATATGTCAATCAACATATATTTGCTTACTTTATTTATATACATCGAGTTGGACAGGCACATCACTCCTTCCCGCTGGTTTCCTGACTTTCTTCTCCTTCTTCTCCATTATGCCTTGGTTTCCTTAGTATGTTATCTCTCTCCATTTCTCTCTCGCTCTCTCTCTCTGCCTCCCTCTCTCTCTCTCTCTCCCTCTCGCCCTCTCTGTCTCTCCATGTATATACATATGTATTCTTATATATATGTAAATATATAGATATATCCTCTCTCTCCCTCTCTCTCTTTATCTCTTTCTCTTTGCCCCCTGACTCTTTACAACTCATCCCTCTCTATCTCTCTCCCTTTCTCTTACAGGCTTCTACAGAGGGAGCCAAATAAGAACTACTTGCACCTGTAACCAATGATGCAACTGCACAAACAGGAAAACGTAAGAAAACACCACAAGGAAATGACAAGGAACTGCTGCAGTAAGAAATAACCGTCAATGAATATCCACCCCAGGCGTCAATCAGAAACCATTGCGGGAGGAAGCCAAAAGAAATTGTGGCAAAGAAAAACAACACACCTTACAACAAGAAACAATAAGAGACAACTCAACCGTGTGTCCTTGTAACGAAAATCTGGGCCGGGCCCGGGGCCCACGAATCACGACTGCACCGGCAAGAGAGGACCCTAGACACCAACGCCGCATGAGAAGACGCATGGTCACGGCACGAGCACGGCACGGCATGCGAGCACGGCACGCACACGACACGGCAAGTCTTCCTGGTTTCCTGGCACACAGGCACGGCACACGGGCGCCATGCGTGTTGCATTCTGCTGCGTGCGGCAGAGGCACGGCGCGGCGCGGCACGGGCGGCACGCGTGTCACAGTCTGGGCACGCGGGCACGGCGCGGCACGGCACGGGCGGCACATGTTTTGAAGTATGTTGCCCAGGCGCGGCACACGGGCATGGCGCGTTATTTCACGGGCGTGACATGTTTCGCCCTCTGTGTTCTGCAAGCGGGCTCCCTTGAAACAGTGCGTACCCCTTGCACAGTTGGTTGTTTCAGGGTTTCCCCGTGTGTCAGCGCATTGTTCGGCGCTTTTCGTGATCTGGAGCTGCAGAACGCAGGTCGCTGTGTGACAGCACCCGATTTAATACAGATGATGCCACAAGCCCACATTTTGTCACATTGTATGTTTGCAGACGTTGCACCAAAAAGTTGGTTCTGTGAAAGCACATGGGCTTGCGCATGCGATACCACAAACAAACACCTGTTTGATGCGGAGGACCAACTTCCGAACTTGCAAAATATGCGAAAATACATGCGTGGGTGCTTTGATGCCACGGGACTGTACCAGGTGATGCCAGCTTGGTCGTTGCTTGAGACTGACCTCACGGAATCATTTACAGGCTGTGTACATATGTTCTGTTTGGTTGCAACAGGGTGCACAAATTTTGGGTTGCCCAAACACCATATCCAAGGCGCGATCGCCCCCCCCCACACACACACACACACACACACACACACACACACACACACACACACACACACACACACACACACACAGTCTCGTGGCGTCAGAGTCAGACAAATTGATATGTTTGTGGATGCATGGTCCAAAGCTTGTGCAGCAGAGCAAGAGGAGGCGCGATCGCCTGGGCATTGTTGCCAAAATCCAGCTCCAAGCATCCACCGTTGCCCCTCGCAAGGTAGTCTCCCAGAGTGCCAGGAGCGTTGCCGAGCCAAGCCCCTTGAGACGCCGAAGCAACTTGCGCAACCTGCCATGAAGGTGAGAGCACCGAGAGCAGCGCAGGGTGCGCATGGCACACGACGGGGCCTCCAGTACATGCTGCATCGCTCTGCACTGCTCACCCCAATTCATCATGCACTCCGCCACGGGTATACGTTTTTCTTCGCCGCAAAGGCGTCGCCTACATCTTGAGTACGACGACCGCGACAGCGATCGACCCCAGGTTGCGCTTACCACCTCACAGAGACACCAAGCAGCGGCCACGGATCGGCGAGTTCACGAATGCGTCATTCTTGATTGGCCCGACGCCACCGCATTCCAGAGGTTGAGGGTAATGACCTTGGTCACGTCGCCCCCGCCAGTTCCGCGCTGGAGAGCGCTCAAATAGCGAATGCTCGTGGCGGAGCGGGCCCCCCGCTGCCGCCCGCACGCCCACCCACCCAGTAGGAGGCGAAGTAGCACGCGCGCTTTCGGTCAACCGCTCGCGCAGTCTGACTCCAAGATGCGCATCTGGTCCACGGATCGCTGCGTCGAGGAGCCTTCTGTAACAAATTCCTGCTGGACGTGGAAACAATGAGACGACCTTGTCCCATTGACCTTGCGACCTTCAATTACCCCATTGGGCGGGATTGGCATCAATGTCAAGTGCAACGATCGCGGGCCCGAGCACGCGCAGCAAAAATGCACCGACACCAAGGCAATGAACATCTATGTGCCACAGTGCGCAACGACAATGCGCGACAACATCCGTTGCGATCGCAGCTCAAGCTCTTCAGCGCGGTCATCCTGATAACTTTGTACGTGTTCCAATATTGTAAGCGGGAAATGGCGAATAAAATGTTTAGCCGCCCGCGGGCATTGAGCGAACTTTGCTGCACATCACACAAACCAAGGCCAAAAGAGGTGTAAAATCTCAGCGAACGCCGAGTGGGACCTCGACACATGGGTAAACACTCCAGCAGCCCAGAAGAACCGTGCCAGGTGACCCCGTCAGGTGGAGCCACAGACTGCTCCGATGGAGCCGGTGCTTCCGATGCATGTCCACGCGGAGCGCTTGTTGGCCCCCCAGCCTTGCTGGAGAAACTCCGTTGAAGAGCACGTGATGCAGCAGGGATTCGCGTCGCGACAAGCAGCACGAAGCTGACAGGCGCGCGTCTCGTTCACACCGGCGGCGGCCCGCCTTCGGGGGCCGCTCGCACGGGCGCCGGCGTGCGGGCCGGAGGTGAGTTTTCGTTGGTCGAGCATTGTTCTTCTACGCACGCTCTGAGCCCACCATCGTCCGAGGAGGCCTTGCAGGACACCCCGTCGGTTGACTGTGGCGGGGATTCCGAGCCTGACTCCCTGAGCTTTCATGGCAACCCTGCCTGCTTCACCCGAGGAAGCAGGCTTTAATTTGAGAGGGGCGGAGGGGCCGGGGCCTCTCCACCCCAGCTGCACACCCCGCAGAGGCCCCAGAAGACTTCACTGTCGCCAGTATATGACCAGCGTCATCTTGGCATTACAACTGCGCCTTTTAGGGAGTATTCGTTGAGCGGTGATTTGGCCATGTTCGACATGTGTGTTCAGGCGGCATTGTTGCCCATTGGATCGCCCTGAATAATTTCGATATCACGGTCAATACTATCTGAGTCGGCTCCAACAGTGCGCCAAACGACGACAGTTTGTCACAAGGTACATTTGTGTCCTTCTCTCTATAGCTTATTAATCGTATTATGATTCCTCCTCGTCTGCCTCCACATTCTACGTGCTCATGTCCCCTATGAGATAAAAAAGCACTCGCTTAATGCAAGGAGGTGGGGGCGGGGGAGGAGGAGTCGACGGACGAAAGAAGTTGAAATGAGGGAGGACGGCCGCAGCAGGCGAGCGGTTCTGTTCGCGAGGTCATCTGACAATATAAATCATATAAGACGTTATTCTCTGATTTGGCCGACGGGAGGCAGCGATTTCTTGCTGATGCCCTCGCGGTACGAGCCGTGTGGTATCCCGCAGATGTGCGCCTTAACTTATGGAGAGTCGGGAAATTGCATGTTAGATTGGGTATGAGCTAGAGGCCTTCACGTTTCCA